GTGTACACAGGTGCCTCAGACTCCCACCATCTCAGACAGGGGCCGGGACAGGTACTGCTGCTCTGACTTCCATGCCACGATGGACCATGTGCCCCCAACCATGAGCCCCCTTTTTTCCTTTCTGGTTTCTGGTACAATGATAGAAAAAATTAACCAGCACAGTCTCTCTGGAGCTGAGGTTGACCTTGAACTAGGTATGCAGCTCAGTCTGTCCTTGAATGTATCATCCACCTACTTTGTCCCCACTAATACAACAGTTACAGGTGTGTCCCGCTACACCTACCTAAGAGATTAATTTAATTGACTGTAGATTATTGCTTATCTAGGGAACATTGGGGCTCAGTGATAGAGCCTGATCTGTTCAAGTTCTTTTATTGGGCAGTAGTTAGGTGTTGGGGCACTGCTCTTGGCAGGGAATAACACAGCTCTCATGGGCCTCAGGGGTGTGGATTATAATAAACAGGTCCCCCTCATGTGCTTGCCTCTTCAACACTTGGTTTCTCTTCCTGCTTCTCCACCATGCTGTGAGGCGGCCTACTAGTGTTTCCTCATGTGAATGGTAGGAGCCACCTTGGAGTTTGGTCTCCCAAATTGTGAGCTAGAAGAAACTCTTTAAAAGTTGCAGCTTCACATTTTTATAGCAACAGAAGATGAGCAAGCAGAGTGTTACAAAAAGATTCATTTTTAGTTGTGTATGTGCATATCTGTGTGTGTGTGAGTGCTCATGGGGGCAGAGTCAAGGAATGGATCTCCTGGAGCTGGAGTCACAGGCGGTTGTGTGAGCCCACTAATTAGGGTGCTCAGAGTGGAACTGATTGCCTCTGTTGCATCTGCTTGCTGACCCTTCTCTCTAGCCCTTAATGATTAGGTCATGGGATCTTGTTTCCTCATCTGTTATGTGAGGACACAGCGAGGCGTGACTCCTCAGAACCAGAGACCACAACCTCACTGGAAGTGAGGCTGGCTGTACCATGACCAGGGCTCCTAGCCTCCAGACCAGGTAGCAATAAACTCTGTGTTAAGTCAGACAGTGAATGGTTCACATGTGGCAGCAGCTGGAATGAGCTAGGACACGGGACGTCTCGGGTCTGGTTTTGCTTCCGGACAACTAGAAGATATAAAAGCATGGATGACTAAGTGAGAGATGGGCAAGGGGTCCTGTCATTCTGAATTGGGGAATGCTCTCAAAAGGACAACCCTAGGAAAAATAGAGCCAAGAAAGCCAGAAAAAGGAGTGAGAAAGTGGGAAAAAATGGAGGTGAGGAAGGGACCTGGACCAGGGAGAGTGTGGAGGAAGGCAAGCATCCTTTGGGAGCATATATGTTCACAGCTTCCTAGGTTCCTGGAAGACTTGGTAGTAAATGCCATGCAGGGTGCCCATTGTGATTGATGGCTAAAGGAGGAATGAAGAGGGGGATGAGAGACGATCTAAGTGTTGGAGCTGTCTTAGCCCTAGGTGGGCATTTGGACACATCCGATTTACCCCAGCTGCCCTCAAATCCACGTCTCTGACAGAGGGCACTAGTAGTCTATGCACTTCCTGATTACAGAATCATGTCTGAAGATGTTCATAACAGCTTTGTCAAAGGTAACAAAAAAATCTAGACTTAGTGTTTGTCTTTCTCTAATTCCAGTCGTTAGGAGGTAGAGGTATAGGATGGAGTTTAAGGTCAGCTTGGACTACATAGTGAAATCCATCTTGGAAAAAAAGCTGAGAAATGGAAGCCACTCAGGTGTGCAGTTAATGATGATAACGGACTGAACCTCTGAAACTGCAAGCAAGCCACCCCAATTAAAGGGCTGCTGTGGTCATGGTGTAAACCCCAGCTAAGACAGGCACTTTCCCTCACTGTCACCTGTCCCCTCTACTAGTTTACTCTGCCATTGGCCCTTCCCACCAACCTTCTCAGTCTCTGACTCTCAGGCCCCAGTCCTCACCTCCCTCTTAACGGAGTCTTAGCACAGGCACAGAGGTGGAGAAGCAGAAGCCCACAGGCCACAACGTTCAGGAAACGGTTACAGTGGCATGATTACTCCCTAGGTCTGAGTCTGTGTTGCAATGGATACACCATGTTTCCCAACGGGAAGATATTTCAGACCTTGTCCACTCAGGAATTTGTACCCACAGAGGTGTAGGGAAGAAGCTTGTTGGGGGAAGGGCAAAGTGGTAGCTGCAGGAGAGATGCACTGATTAGACAGAGGAGAACCATATTTAGCAGGTTTAGGAGGCCATATCTGTTGGGTTTGCTCACTCTTTGGTTCCCGGGAAGGCACAGCATGGCCTCTGGAGCCATTCCAGATACCAGAAACCCACCCCCAGCCTAGAGTCACCACATTTATGATCCTCAGATTTACAGATCAAGTGTTGCTTTTGTAATGGAGAGCAGAAAGCTGTGACTGAGATTCTGGATTCCCTAAGGAGGTGCGTGTTGAGGGTTCAGATGGAGAAGGGGTAGGCATTTGATTATTTGATTTAGGCGTTAGAACCTGGGGATGCCTTGAGTGTGTCCTCTGGGGTTTGGCATTGCTGTCTTTGCTTTATCATTTGATTCTACAAATTTTTAAATTTGCCTCTTGATTTCACTCAAGAAAATGTAATCATCAGTCAGCAGCATGTTGTTTATTACTACTAAACTGTATGCCTTCTCTAGTTTCTCTTACTGTGGATTTAGAATCTTATTCTATTGTGATCAAATAGATGTAAGTATTTTTCCTGTATTTCTTAAAACTTCCTGTGTGTCCCAATACATAACCTATTTTGTAGAAAATTCTCACAGGCTTCCAAGAAAGCACACTTTGTAGTGTTTAATGGGGGCATTTTGTGGGTGTCTATGAACTCCACTAGGTCTGTGATATCTTTAATGTGGATGTTACTCTGTTTTTGTGTGTTTTAAAAGTGCTTCCCCCCCGTTCATTTTTTACTTTATACCAAGGCTAGTGTGGTGGCAGCCCCCACTGAGAACAAGTTTGCAGTCACTTATCCACCTGACAAATATTTTTAGGCCTGGTTGGTTTCAACACCAGGACTCTTTGGACTCTCAGAGCTTATGATAAAGCTGAGATACTGAGCCATGAACAGGAGTTTCAGAATCCCAGAGAACCCTGTCAGGATTTACCAATGAGTATAGGGTCAGGAGATCTCGCTTGGCTAGGAAAGACTTCATGGATGGAACTGGATGGGTGTCTACTTTAGAAAGCCAGCAATGCTACCCCAGAATCTGGTTCCATCTCTCTAGTCTTCAAAAATATATAGTACTCAGAGCCTGGCAAGAAAGGCTTTCCTTCTCAGGGCCGTTCTGAATGTTTTCACTAACATGGTACAACCATGGCTGTACCTGACTCCTCCCATCAGCAAGGCAGTGTCTCCCTTCAAATTGTCTGTGCTCCCAGTCCTGTCCCGGGCAGATGCTCTCTCTTTCCTCAATTTCCCGACTGAAGGAACAGCTGGCCTATGGCAGATGACTGTCCCAGCTCTCCTAAGACCAAAGACATGGAGCTAGATTCTTTGTATTATCTGAACAGTATGACGTTCTAAATCATTGGTAGCAGGAGCCCAGTACTGAGCTCAGGCAAGCGTGGGAGAATCTGGCACCAGCCCTCTGGGAGAGTATTCTTCTCTGCCCATGTTGTCCAGAATGGACAATCAATAATCTTCACTGTGACACCAAAAGTCATGCGGCCCTGGGGTTGCTCTTCCTTGCACTGGATTTTTAAAAAGGGGGAGTTTGCCAACCTGGGAAAACTTGGCTTGTTGGGCAAACTGATCAGAAATAAGGGGATATGACATGTCAGGATCTCTATCACAAAGGATCTGGGCTCTTAGAGACAGAGAGAAAACGTTTTGGGACAATTTAGGTAGATTGAGCAGAATTCTGCACCCTTGTATAATGACATAAAAAGAGAGGGCATTTATAAGAAAGGCCAAAATGTTTAGTAACAGCAAAGAGGTAAGAATGGAAGTTATGTCTATGGACAATCAAGGGGAAGAGGGTTATCACAGGGAACAGGAGGTTTCAGAGGAGCTTTGGAAGCAGAAGGACACCCCCATAAGTGGGCGTATGCTCAGAGAGACAGGGGACAGAACCTCTATTGAATATGTATGAACCTTCTGGCACCCCCGCCCTGCTATTAGGACTCACCCCATAGACAAACATTTTCATAGATGTTTGATATGTGCCAATGTGGGAGTTGCCATGTCTACAGAACTCCTGGAAATCAAAACAAACCTCAGCAGGCACACAGTAAGCAACCTAGTTTTTCTGGACATATATCCTCCCTAACACATATGTGCCACACACATATATGCACATACTCCCAGAATTGGGGAGATAATAGATACCAAATCCTACATCTAATACAAAATTGTGCCACTGATGACTTTGGGATGGAAATAAATGAATGAGGTTGGATGATGGGAAGGGGAAGAAAAAAAAATTGATACTGACGAATAAACAAATTATCTTAAAATAATTTGTAGGTGATATTTTATTTACAAACACAATTTGTAGAGTCACTTTTAGATGTTTACAGATTCAAAGACTGAATTGGAAACCTTTATGTGCTGTGTTTTGAAAGGGTCTATGAGTCATATTTCTATATTCAAACTTAGGCTCCAATATGATGATGTGAAGAGTTAGGCCTATTGGAGGCCTGGGTCATAAGAGCTGCTAATCATCCCATCACACACAAGGTGTTGTCTTTGGGTCAGAGAGCTAGTCAACACAATGCAGCACACCTGTTGGTATCTTATCCTTGGACTTCAAGGTCTCTAAAAGTATGAACTTGACGAGAGAGGGCACGCGCTTTTGACTCAGCCCACAGTATCACATGGGTTCCTTTAAAAACCCTTAACAACGTTCTCCAAAGCTGCTTCACTAAAAGAGGGTTTTGGTCTTAGAGAAAAGGATAGTGAGGATGAGAGATGAGGCAAGGAAAGAAAGAAGATACCCAGTCCCAGTGGGGTGTGAAAAGAGATGGGTACTTTGGGACTCACAAATCCATATTGTTATGGGAATATTTATTGAGTGGGTCTAACCAAAGATGACCCAGCAGGATAGGATCACATACAGAGGATTCATGATAAATGTAGAAGAACAGACAAGTATAGAGGTTGTGAATGGTTTGTGACTGTTAGGATAAATCCTGGTCACTCAGTATGTTTTGGGAAACTCAAGGTGACCCCATCAGCAGCCAATGCTACACACCATTCATCACACAGGGCACTATAGCTCGTTGTGCATGTTCTGAGATTTCTTTAGCTCCTGGATTTTCTGGGGCAGAGTCTGGGTCCAGAACTGCAGCCTTCGGGCCTTCAGGGCTCGGCCCACAGCAGGCTGTATGTCCAGCTGCAGGTATTGCTCATCCTCGTCCATCATGGGCCAGTAGGGTAGACCCTCGCTGTTGGGGTTCCTGTGGGTATGCCAGCAATCACAGAAGGGTGAAGTCACTCTGATCCAAAGACTGACCCCCTGATTTGGGTCAGGCAGTAAAACAATTAGGCCAGTGGTTAATGTGGCTGTTGGGACAGGTGTCCTGATATAGGGATACAAGTGTCACCCACTGGTTTCTACTCCATGTGGGGAAGGCTACCTCCCTCTGAGAGATAATATCTAAAGAACAGTCCCATAGCACTATGGCACATGAGATGTCACTGTGAGATGACCAGTATCTGACACTTACAAAGTATCTGTATAAAGGTGCTATGAGGTAAAGCAGACCCTTTCATGTGATGAAATGTTCATGCGTGCTAAGGCTTCCATCCAAAAGGGAGCCCTAGAGAGGGACCCACACCTGAAAGGTTGAGGGAAGGGCATGTTCTCACCCATGTCTTGCAAAGTTGGCCCAGTACTTCATCACCCTCCTGTTCAGTAACTCTTCCTCCTCAGTGAGGTCAACTGGAGTCATTAGAAAGACAAAGGTCCAAGTATTTGCTACCTCATGCAACTGCCAACTCATGCTTCAGATTTACAATCCTAATTGTCAGCTGACTCCAAACTATTGGTTTTGCTACCTCCCTTCTTCACTATATACAGTATCCAAGATCCATGCAAGCCTCTAATTGAATTCTTGACCCAATGTGCTGCCATCTTCCCCATTACAGGTTAGACTGGGATGGGTCCAGATTCTAAACCAGATATCTATATATCTATATCATTTATACAGTCTGTATCTATAGCTATATCTATACAGGTTTGTTCATGGAATGAGAGCTTATGAGTCCCTCAGAGAGTCATCTGGTACCTTATTCAGCTCAAGAAAAATAAGGAAAGACTCACGTTTCACACCCCAGAATAAGGACCCAAAGACAAAAGGAATCTCATCTCCATGGTCGGCCTTCACGTGGGGTGACCTCACTTGCTTGAAAAAGGTGGGCTGATGTTGGAACTCATAGAAGTATACAGGGGCATGGAAACCTGGAGGTAAACACAGATGGTGACTTAGTCGTCCCTTACCTGGAACTTTTCTGATGCATGATTGGTGACAAGAAACCTTGATGAAATGTTACCTGGAATCAAGTTAAGTGGCAGAGGGAGCTTTAGGCTAGAGCTCGAGCTGTGGAAAAGCCCTTGGTTAAACTGTGTCCGTGGCCTTCCCAGTTGAGTGGTTTTGTCAAGTCAATAAAGTACGTGACCCATTTTCTCTTCCGTACCTACATGCCACTCTATTAAACTAGACATGGGGTGACCTGGAACCACACTGCTCCACAGTGCTCACCCGTGATCCACATCTCTGAACTGCTCCCCTAATCCTTGTTACAGGTGTACTCACGTTGAAAATGTGCTACTTGGAGTGCAGGGATCACAAACATGAAGTCTCCCATCATCTCTCTGAACTGTATTTGGAAAGGTTGGAGATCCTCAGTGTCCCCCATGTACTCTTCTATTAGCAGGTCGCTGCACTCAGGAGGCAGCATCTACACCAAGGGGAGCCAGAAGAATGAGGTTAGGCAGGCAACAGCCTTTGGCATGTGGAAAATGGGCCCTGGGATGAGATAGGGTATGGGCAAAAAGGTTCAAGGTCAAATTTTTGATATGGGACTCCCCTCTGTATGTTATGAATATATTTTATTACCATTGGTTAATAAAGAAGCTCTTTTGGCCTATAGCAGGACAGAGTATAGCCAGGCTGGAAGAGATATAGAAAGAGAGTAGGTAGAGTCAAGGAGACACTATGTAGCTGCCAAAAGAGACAGACATCAGAACTTTAGTGGGTAGGCTACAGTCTTGTGGCTATATACAGAATCATACAAATGGGTTAATTCAAGATGTAAGAGCTAGCTAGAAATATGCCTGAGTCATTGGCTGAACAGTGTTGTAATTAATATAGTTTCTATGTGATTATTTGGGTCAGTGTAGCCAGAAAATAAAAGCACAATCACCATCTACAAAATGGCACACCAACATGGGACAACTATACCCACATAAAAACTGACAGAGCTTTGGAAGGAATTCTAGACACAAAAGAACAGAGCCAAGTGCAGTTTCTTGGTAGCCACATTCTTTTTCAGATAGGCTTGGTTTGCTAGTTGCAAGCAGAGGTGTGGCTCCTTTGAGAAATGGCAGCTTCTTGGTTCATGCTGGTAGCATGAACTCTGGCTCTTTTGGGAGGTCCTGAACTTAAATGGGGTTTGTGAACATTGTGTTACTAGTTGCTCAATGGCAGCATAGACCCACTGTGTCCCTGGTGCTGGGGTGGTGTGCACGGCTCACAGAGGTGGTGGACATGCCTCTGCCAATGTTGGACTGGAGTGAACAGGCAGGGCCATGATGTTGGCCCTAGCCATGTTTGCTTAGCAATAAAAAAAGCACCCTTGGTCAGAAAAGGATTACACATTTCCTTATATGTAAAGACACATTCAAACAAAAAGACCTCTAAATGGGTCAAGGTGTTGGATAAACATACATGGGTTTAAGAGGGAGAGGAAAAAAATATAAATATTTATAAAAATAGTAAATGGTTAAAAAATAAAATAAAGTCTTTAAAGCCACCATAAAAGTAACATAAAAGAGTACAGACAGTCATAGATGAAAGGAGTAAAGGAAATAAGCCATGTACAGATGGGATACACAGAGTCTGGATTGTGTTTATTATTGTGTTTCCTTTGAATCTTTTGGCTGCATAGAGACATTTAATTCTGGGGGCTGCTAAGTTAAACCAACATAAAGATATCTTGACTTCAAAATTTGGGTCTAAGGATATATTGCTTTGAAAAAGAGGTTCTGCTTTCGTTTCCACAAATTCCTGTGGATTCCTTCCAGGCTAAAGTGGTTTGATGGAGCAAGATCCACTGAACGGTCCCCATGAACCCTAAAAATACTTTGCCCAACAAACAACAGGAAGCAGTTTGGAGAAAACAATGCCAAAATTCTCAAAATGATTGTTTATAAATGTTTGTTTTCATTTAAAGGGGGATATTTAAAGGGGAATACTTTGTTTTGGTATGGATCTTATTCTATTAATAAAAATTTAAGGCTGACTTTGTTACATATACACTGTATATATGTATTTCTGCTTTTGTTTAGGGTATTATATATTTGTGCAGCTCATTTAAAAATGTAATGTATAATTAAAAATTACAGATTAATAGATGGTCATCTGTAATAGTTAAATTGTAGTTATGTTAGTTAGGTTTCCTAGAAGTTCAGTGATATATTTCAGATGGCTAGGTATTCTTCAAAGATTTCAAAGACTTATAGAATATGGCATTTAAAATATTTTGTTAACTTAGGACTTTTCATGACAGTGAAACACATCTGTTCCTGGTAGCATTATGCCAATCTACTTCAAGAGGATGATGGGCATCGAAGAGTCTCCTTATAGAGTTTGTTAGTCATTTGGGTCATAAATTGCTCTTGCCTGAACTGCTTGATGGTATACTATATGAACTGGCATGCAGGACCCACAGAAAAGTGACTTCAGAACTTTTCAAAAGATAGAATCATCTTTCAGAGTTGCTTTTTCACAGAAGAAACTACCAGACATTTTCCATGACACAAAAGAAAACAATTAATGAACTTTGCCAGTTCAAGGCAGAACAGACCTTTGAATTTCCTGCTTCATGGAAAAGTTTGCCTGTAGGCTGAAGATGGATGCCCCAACATTACAGAAAAATGTTGGGTGATTGTCCAGGCAGCAAGATGTCTCTGTCAGGTCTAGAGTTTTGAAAGTTGCTTATAATGAGCTTCTTATTTACTTGGGTAATATTATAACATTCTGGGGTCCTTGAAGAGTTGAAGACAGATAGTTATAGTTTTCCATAGTTATGATAAAAGATAAATTATAAATGAGACTTTAGACTCACAAAGATAAAGTAGATGATAGTAAATTTTCTTTAATTTTTTCCGGATACAAATAGACTAAATATTGTAACTGTAATTCTTGCTCTAACCTGTTTTGTTATGTGTAATTTTACTATGTTAAAGTTAAAACATTCCTTTTAATTTAGACAGAAAAGGGGAGATGATGTGGATTTCCGCTGTATGCTATAAATATGTTTTATTACCATTGGTTAATAAAGAAACTGTTTTGGCCTATAGCAGGGACATATAGCCAGACAGGGAGAGATATAGAAAGAGTAAGTGAAGTCAGGGAGACGCCATGTAGTTGCCAAAGCAGACAGATGTCGAACTTTACCTGATAAGCCACAGCCTTGTGGCTACACACAGAAGTGGGTTAATTCAAGATATAAGAGCTAGCTAGAAATATGCCTGAGTCATTGGCTGAACAGTGTTGTAATTAATATAGGTTCTGTGTGATTATTCCGGTTAGAGTGGCTGGGAAACAAAAGAGCAGTCTCAACCTACAAATTTTGTGGAATATTATTTTAACTGGGAAAAGATGTGCTACATTTGTCTGTGTTGTGGAATATTATTTTAACTGTGTAAAGGCATGTTGCATTTGTTTTGGCTGCCTTTGTTAAGGATGTCAAGATGTGTTACATTTGTTTATGCTGTGCTTGTTTATGTAAAGATGTGCTGTTGTTTCACCTTGCCTGCCCAAGGCACCTGGTTGGTTCAATAAAAAGCTGAATGGGCAATATCTAGGCAGGAGAGGAACAGGCAGTGCTGGTGGGCACAGAGAATAAATAGGAGGAGATATTTAGGCTAAGGGAGAAGAAGAGAAGAGATAGAAGAGAATGAAGAAAAAGAGAGGGACATGCCAAGGGACAGAAGTCAGGTAGCTGCCCACCAGACACAAGAACAGTAAAGTAAGATATACAGAAGGGAATAAAGTTAAAAAGTCCCAAGGCAAAACAGGAGAAGGGAAACTGATTAAGTCATAAGAGCTCGTGGAATAAGCGTAAGATAAGTGTGAGAAGTCATAACTAATAAGAGGTTTTCATGTCATGATTTGGGACCTGGTTAGTGGCTTCCAAAAAAGAAAAAGCCTGTTACACTCCAAGGTGACCCCACACAGAATCACACATATATACTGACCTTTATTAATAGGGATACTGTCTGAGAAGGAGATATGAGGGACATCTCTATATAGACAACGTCAGAGGTATCTTACCATTTGTGCTGCTGTTTCCTTCATAACAGTCTCCAGGTTCTCTTTGGTTATTTCCTTTATTTTTTGGTCATTTTCTACAGCCTGGGAGGCAAAAGACAAGTCTGATAGTCTTGGATTAAAGATGCATTGAGTTCCCACTGCTTAACATGTGAGTCTCTAGGTTCCCAGAATATTGGAAGTGAGCCTCACCACAGGGATGATCCAACCATACTCATCATTGTTGACACCAATGATGCTGGGGACAGGGTGAAAATTCCCAGAAGCCAACAACTCTTGGGGATGCCTGGGGAAGAACGCTCCATCCACCACAGCAGGGATGGCCTGGAAGACCTGAGGGGCATTAAAAGTCAGTGCTGAAGGTCAGTGAAATAATATGCTGATCCACTGAGTTACTTTCACCATTTTCTCAGTTCTCGCTAGTTTCAGGGTGCACCGCTCACTCTGGAAGAGAATCTACACTTAGAACAGTCTATCTTGGTCCCAAGTTCATATTGTACACAGAACTAAAAGAACACAAAGCCATAGAGATGAGGTATTTGGTTCAGAGTCGCACATCTTGTTGTCCAGGTCCTTCCAGACACACAATTCTACTTACCTTGTTAATATCCAGAACTTCTGCTTCACTTTTGCCTCTCAGACAGTGCACCAGGGCCTCTGAGTCTATGGCTTCACATCCAGATAGGCTGGCCACCATCTATAAGGGAACAAGCAGGGAGATGAGCTTGCTCCATTCCAACTCGATGCTATTGCCCCAAAACACAACACTATAGTGTGTGTTGTGTGTGGATTGGAATAAATATGAAATTGTTCCCAAGTCTCATAGCCCATAGGTGACATAGCAAGCAATACCCATTATACCTGCATACTTGTTTTATTTTTCTTTAGGGTAGTTTTGTTCTCTCCACCCATCTCTCTGAGTTTTATGTATGAGAGAAAGAGCAAGTTTGCTATAGTTCTTATGTGAAGGTTAGAGGACAAAGTCTCATTCACTGTTCCCTGTATTTGAGACAAGGTGTCTTCTTGTTTTGGTGCTACCTGCACTAACTGAGCTGCCCTGTAAACATCCAGGGATTCTCTAGTCTCTGCCTCCCCCACATGACCACAGGAACATTGGAATTATAGATACATGCTACCATCTCCAGCCTCTTGTGGATTCCAGGGATTTGAACATAGGACCTAGGTTTGCACTCCAAGCACTTTTAAAAGCCCACCGAACCATCTCCCTAGCCCTTGCACACTCAATTTTGCCAGTGGTCGATGCTGCTTAGGGGCAGCTTTGCTGTCCACAGAACATACTTAGCCTGTAGAAAGCAGAGGCATGGATCCTAAACCATGAGCCTTTCAGAAACAAACAAAGAGACATCCTTTCCCTAGATTCTTGTATTCTCCACTGAGTACCATAGTGCCAGAGGACAATACTGTGGCAGTAGATAGAGGGTTGAAGGAGTTGGGGCACTTACTTGGTGAATCACCTCAGAGGAGTTGGAGATGAGACCAGGCAACACGGCTACTCCACTCTCCATGATGGCTCTGTGGAAGAGTCCTTTGGACATGGGGGATAGAACAAGTGAAGACACACTTATGCCACCTGCTGACTCACCAAAGATGGTGACCTGGTCAGGGTTGCCTCCAAAGTAGGCAATGTTCTGTTGGACCCAGCGTAAGGCAGCAACTTGGTCCAGGTAACCCCAGTTGCCTCTGGCTTGCTGGTCTCCAGTGCTGAGAAGTGGAAGGGACATGGATCAAAGGAATGTCCAGGTTCTTCTCAGATGACATTGTCCACCCCAGCCTAGGCTCACCTGAAGAATCCTAGGACACCCAGGCGGTACTGAATAGTGACCACCACCACATCCTCAATGGCTGCCAGCATGGACCCATCATACATGGAGGCCATTCCTACAACCAGAGCACCACCATGGATCCACACCATCACCTGGAGAAGTCAAAAGAGATGCCAGGAAGCTGCTAGTCAGTCCAAGCTCTGCAGGATTGCTTACTGGAATATCAACTCCTGTGCCTCTGTGCAGCTACACAAATACATGCAAATCCTCAGGACTTCAGGACCTTAGTCATAGGTGGGTTCTCTAGTAGCCCCATAGTATATTTCGAATCCCCATCCCCATCATGTATCTCAGCTTGAATTAATGGCTCTACGTATAAAGTAATGTCATCATTACTCAGACTCTTCATAGTGGAACAAAGAGGGGTGTCTCCATGGATATCTCTCTAGATGAAAAATGGAAAGGATCATCAACTCTCACCGACACAACAGGTAACCCGGAAGTAGAAGAGGGTGACTCACAATGATGAGATCTTGAGCAGGCAAGTGGTTCTGCAGGGCTCAGGTTGTAGAATGAGTCCTGGTTTTTAGTAAAGAGCTAGAGCCTTTGATGGCTCAGGGCTCCAGTGCTCCATGTCCCATACCCAGTTTTCAACTATATAGTGTGACTGAGAAGGCCTTTTTTTGACCCAAATAGGGCAAGGCTTTTCAATAGAGTCCACACTGCAATAGAGCTCATGTTGCTTTTGTCCCTTCTCATCATCTTGAAAAACACACCCTCTCCCCAAGGTGACCATGTCCTGATGACTCACAGGCAGGTTAGAGCCTTCACGGGCATGTGCTGGTGTGTAGATGTTGAGATACAGGCAGTCCTCAGACATGGAGATGGGAGGCGGGTTCATTTTTAACTTCTTTAGGCTCTCTGAATTCATCTTATCAATATTTTGCAGACAACTGCCATAAAAGGGAGACAGTTATTCCAAGAGATGTATGGTGGTCAAAACCAAATGTGAGTCTGGATTTTTCCAAGGCATGTTCAGGTGCTGTTCCTCATGATGCCCTGTTAATGCATATTCCCACTCTAAAGTCCCTTCCCACCAAGATAATGACCACAAGCTTCCTGAAAGCTGAGATGAAGCCAGATTTCTAGGGACTTCTCCAGCTAGAAAGGGCCTGAATGTTATTCTTTCTGAGTCTGGGATATAGAGACTTCTAGATGTCTCTATGGAAATGATTGGCTGCATGTGATGACATTTACTGAATTGTATAAGAATAGAAAAATGACCTGAGCATTAGCAGGCTTGCGAGCATTTTCTACCCTCTATTTCTGGTTATAGATGGAATGTGACCAGCTCCCATAATTTTCCTGCACTGTGAATTCCCCAACTTGATAGACTGTAGTCTGAAGCCTATAATAGTAGCTTTCTTTGCTAAGTTGCTTTTCTTGGTAGAGCAGCAGAAAACTAACTAAGGTTGCAATATTGGAGTGTTGTAGTCCACAAGTGCTAGAGGAATCAATGGGCAATATTGTCCAAAGGGCAGTGAGAAATCCTTCACCCCAAGTACAGACCCTCAGGGAGCTTCTTTTTCCTGTTCTGTCTCCAGAGGGATTTAATTACATATCCTTGTTCCTTGATCAGTGTCACTTGGCCCTATAGGTTGTCCTAGTGACTAAGAAGGCAGAGTTAGCAAGTGTGCATCATGCTGTCTGTACGCTTCAGGACCTGAAGTGAATTCTACTGAATACATGGGGCTCTCTGGTTAATAAGCCTCACAACTCATTCCTAGAGATTCTTCCCATTGTGGCAGAGCACACTGGGCTTAATTTGGATCTGTGAACAATTTTATTTTTGTTCCTTTCTACAGTACCTGCATCTAACTCTCAATGGTGCCAAGCTCTGACCCAGGAGCTGGTAGAGTTTTCTACTCAGCCTTAGCAAATACATCAGAAAAATGCATGGTGGACTCCCCACACTGGGAGAAAACTGCTATGGAGCTGAGATGGAAGAAAGACTTCAGCATGACTCAGAGCTCAGAGCAACTGTTCACCCCAGGGCCAGACGTCCTCTGGGCCCAGAACTTACATGGCTGGATAGGAGGTCCCATCTTTCACACCACTCCATGGTTCAGGGGCTTCAGGGGGTGCAAAGCGCAGTTGCCCTACAGGTGGCTTGGCAAAGGGGATTCCCAGGAATTTGTGGACACCAACTTTGGTGTCAGTCACTTGAATGAGGCTGCCTCGGACCTGGCCTGTGTGTGTGTTTCTGATGGGGCTGGCCTCTGAGGAGTCCTGACCTGGGTGGAGAGATGGCATCAGGGTTAGTTTTGTGCAATCAGTTGCCAGCAGATTGTGGGAGTGCCCATCTCACTGTTACCAGGGCACAAAAGACAGGAACCCAGGGCCTCCTAGTTAAGCTGTGGGGTGTGAGTGTGGGAATTTCGCTATCCCTCAGAGCCAGGAACCTTTCCTATTGCCTTTGAAGGGTATCAGAGCATTTCTCTGGCCAAGGAGGTTGCATAATCATAGACATTTGGCCACACAAATTCATAATCATTGCTATTTTTTTCCTGGTAGTATTTCTCTGTGTAGACCCAACTGTCCTGGAACTCACTCTGCAACCAGGTTGGCCTTGAACTCACAGAGATAATTGTCATTCTTATCCAAAGGTCAATAGTAGCTATAGTCATAGCCATACACAAAGGGAAAAATACCTTCAGCTCATGTTTCTTGGAATTGTCTAGATCTCTCCAGAGCACCTTACACTGAATTGTCTCTTCAGTATTGCTCAGTCCAAGAGTGATCTTGGACATCTCTGGCCCTGTGGACTTTGACCAGGGGATTGGGAGGCCCAAGTTTCCCACACTTTTATATATCATTTCCATCACCTGTCCTTCCCCCACCTTTTCTCTCAGAAGTTCAGCCTCTGACATGCAGACTGTGGCAGCTCTGACTCTAATCATTTCCCATTGGCAGCTTAGTGAGCCTCACCCTGCACATGAAGAAGGAGAAGCAGGAGCCCAAAGACCACAGCATTCAGCCAGCTATGAAGTTGGTTCAGTGACATGATCAGCTCTCAGGCCTGAATCAGTGCTGCTATGTAGGACAACCACATTTGACAAACAGGAAGCAGAAACTGTGCGGCTTGCCCAGGCAGGAATTTAAATCAAAAGGAAGTAGGAGGGAACTAGGTGTGTTGGGGCAAAGTCCTCATTGTAGGAAAAATGATTAGTCAGAAATGACAGGAGCCAATGGCCTGGGGGCAGGGCAAGGTCACTGCATTAGTCTGGGTTCTCTAGAGCAGCAGGGTTTATGGAATGCATCTCTCTATATAAACATAGAGAAATGGGATTTATTAGAATAACTTAACAGGTTATGGTTCTACTAATTGAACAGTGACAGGTTATGGATAGAAAGTCCAAGAATCCATAAGTTGCTCAGTACATGAGGTTGTATATCTCAGCTGGTCTTCAGCAGATTCTGAAATCCCGAAGAGGTAGACTCTCATGTCAGTGAAGGAATGAATTCGCTAGCAAGTTTAGAGCAAACAGGCAAAGAGCCACATCCTCTGTCTCCCAAGTCCTTATAGATGCTTCTAGCAGTTTGACTCATATCTGGATCAAATGCGTGTGTCTTCCCACCTCAAATGTCCAGAGAAGAAGTAAATTCACCCTCTTCAAACTATCATGAAACCCCTCACAAGTGTGCCCTCCATTTCTGGACTCTGGTTAATTCCAAATGTAGTCAAGCTGACAATCAAGAATAGCTATCAAAGTCACATCTGCTGTTTCTGTTCCCTCTTTGACCCCCCTGGAGAGGCACAGTATGGATTCTGAAGCTTTTCTGGGTCACCTGTCCTCACACATGGACAGAAAGCTGTAACAGGAGAGACAGAGGGCTTCTGTGAGTAGGGACACACTCAGGTTGTCACAGGAGAGACGGGCAGATGCAGGAGTTCTGAGTGTGGCCTTCATTCTCAAGACTCTTCTGTGCTTTGAAGTCTCAGTTTACTGAGCTGATTCCAGGGTCCCTGGTTCCTGCAACAATCTTAGGATCTACATGAATACCTCCCTGTTAGGTCGTAATTGTTTGATCAAAACAGGGCATTTCTGGTGCTTTTAAAGTCCCCAGCCTCCATTTACTCCACACTTGTGATGTGTCTTCTCTAGTGACCTGTTTCTGCCAAGATCAATGTCATGGTCATTTATCCATTAAATAAATATTTTTAAATATTTGCATTTATTTATTCACTATGCTCATGTACATATGTGTATGTGTGGATTCTCCCATCCCTGGCTCATATATGAAGGTAAAGGAACAATTTGTGTAAGTCCATACTCTAATTCCACCATATGAAGCCCAAAGTGGAATTTAGGTCATCAGGATTGGAGTGAAGTTATCTTACCACCTCCTGACCAATATCATATGTAACCATGTGACAAGCATTTAATGGGGACTTTCTGGCTCTAACATTGGGGTCAGTCTGGGTGCTCAAAACCTCTCATAAACCTGAGATACAAAGCAATAAATAAAGAGTCTTAGAATCAGAAAGAACCCTGACAGGATAAAGTAAAGGATGCAGGATCAGGAGTCCATGCATAGCCCAGACTGGCTTCCTAGAGGAAGTGGCATGGGGGTCAGCATCAGACAACCTTTAGTGCCACCTGAGAATTGGCTTTGGCTCCAGATTATCTTAATTATTATCTAAATAATAGTCTAGAGCCCCACAGCATGGCACTGTGGGACTTCTTCCTTGGTGTCTCTGTCTGTTTTTCTGTCACATCACAGCTCAGCCCCTGCCTCCACTAATCAACAGGGTTCATTTGATTCACTGTCACCCCTCCAATGCACTCCTGTCCTGACTGTGGTCCTAGCTTTTCTTGGCAGGTGCTCTCTCCACTCCAAGTTCCCAATCAAAGGAAGAGTTGGACCACAAGGGCTGAAAAGTCCCCAGCTCCTCCAGTCTCTATATGAAGGAACTGTATTCCTAATGGATCCTGGGCTTTTAAATCTCACACATTTTTGCAGCTCAGCTGGAGCAATTCCTGCATGTGTTGCTACTCACTGCACCATCATCAGAGGCCCCGTATGGATGATGGCCATGGCCACAGGAAAGATGGGAAATGAAGGAGATGCTCAGACTCTACTCTGTGGGGGAGGCAGAGAGTGAGAAGGGAGAGCAGAAAGTTAGGGACAGAGAGACAAAGAAATAGAGCATGTGACAGATAGATAGGTAGATAGGTAGAGAGGTAATTAGAGACACAACTCCATGAAAATATTTGCGACAAGATATATGTATATATATATATATATATATATCCGTTCAATATAACCAGGTTTAAGACCCATAAGTCCAAGTGTCAGCAAAGACATGGAGCCACTGACACTCTCCTAGACCACTGGAGGAGACACATGATGATGTAGTCATTATAGACGACAGTCAGGTAGTTCTTTTAAAAGGCAAACATATTTATCTGGTCTGTAGATTGGGCATGTGATTTCTCTCCTGCTTCCTTTCCAGAGAGTCATCTGCAAGTGCTTTGCTCAGATTAAACCTGGTCCTTCACTTTTAAATTTGGCTTGATTTGGCTCACTGTGTCAGTGGAGAGACTTAACATTAGAGTATGTCAACCTTTCAATCAGGACTTGTCCCTGGAGTCTAGCTTGCATTTGGGAACCTGTTCCTCATGCTGAATTACCTTGTCCTGTCCTGATGCAAGGTAAAGAGCCAGGTCCTGCCTCAACTTGATGTGTTAGCCTTTGTTCAAGCCCTTGGGAGGTTTGGCCCTTTCTGAATGGAGACAGAGGAGGAGTGGAAGAGGAGGGGTAGATGGGAAATGGAGTGGGGGTGCAGTGACCAGGAGGAGAGGAGGAAGGGGAAACTGTGGTAGGTATGTAAAATAAATGAAAAAAGTTGTTTAAATAAAATAATAAAAAATAAACAATCCGAACTCACCATAAATGATACAATGGTGTATGGTAGCCCACATGTGATTCAGTTTCCATCTGGAGTCAATTCTGACTTACAGAAGTCATTTGAGTTCGAACTTGCCTGCCTGCCTGCATCCTTGAGGGCTGTGAGAAAGTTCTGATTAAACCCATAAGAAAGAGCATTTTTGCCCAGATGAAAGAAGACTTTATCCATTAAGATTTGGGCTGGTGTATGGCACACATAGTTAGAATTAGTAGCTACTTGCTGCTATCTAAATTCTTGTGTGAGCTAATGCACCCACTTGAGCTTCCTCCCAAGGACAGTGCAGGGAGGGTGTTAGCTGACTGTACTGTTCTCTCTTCTGCCTTCTGCCTTTAATCAGTCCCCCTGCTCTGATCCCTGCTGGAGTGGGCTCCGACATGGTGCTGTTTCCAAATAAAAAGGTCGGCAGGAGCTAACATTTATTGGGTACTGGTTGACGACATCTTCTAGAAGATTTTTATGAGTAAAGTCACTTAATCCTGATGGCTCATAAAATGAGCTATTAATACTGTCATTTTTTGTCTAGGAGGACTGAATTACAGTGAGTTTAGAAACTTCCAAGATCACAAAACTACTAAAGAGTGGGGCTGAGATTTTTATTTTATTATTATTTTTTCTAGGTGCTTATTTTTTCTAATGATAGTGGGTTGGTGGGGAGGATCTTGGAGGAATTGGGGAAGGGGAGATTATAATCAATATATTGTAAGAAAAAAATCTATTTTCAATAAAAATAGTTGTTTGATATTAAAAATAAATAATAAAATAAAACATATCAGGAAAAAAGAATTTAATTAAAAGCAGTCAAAAATAGGTCATGCAGATGTGCATCAATCAGGGTGGGGTAATGTGCCATGTGCATACATGGACTGACACTATTAACTAAATGACAGCACATTTGATTCTCACAGATATTGTTCTTAGTAACAGGATCGTCACAAACAATTCCTTTTCTGAGGCAGGATAACCAGGACTTTGATGTTTTTAAATTATATGCAGTTTCCAAACTGTAGTATCAGAAAGTAGTTGCCCTGGAGCAGACACCAGGCAATGAATGACAGAGAGGAACTCAGGGGAACTTTTTCCAGTAAAAGAAGGAGAGTCACATTTAAGTGCGTGTGGTTGCATAGATCATATTTCTTTTGGTAAAATTTGCCCATCTATGCAAATGTAAGATGGGTACATTTTGTTCCAAAGGAATCAGATGATATCAAAGCTTATAAGAAATAATGCAGATACTGAGATTTTAAAGGTCACTGGTGAAGTATCTTGTATGTCAGCACAAATGGGGACCTCACAGATGCATGTATACAACAGGAGACTGATGATGGCTTGAAGCCTCAGTACAAGATCAATCAGTCCTCCTGCGCTCAAGGGAAGCATTCTTCTTGGTCCAACTGCGGAGCCAAGGCTAAATGTATCATCTGTCTTCTGCTCCCTGATGTTTGGGATGGGCAATGTTAAGAATCCTCACTGCTGATAAAGGTTCTGTGGTTGGTCTTCAACAGAATGGATAGAAAAAGGAGGAATTTGACAACCTAGGAATGAACACTTGTACCCCAGTGGAGCAAGTTGGTCATAGGTAGAAATCTATGGGAATATCACGGTCTAGAGATGAAGGAAACAGCCTCTTAATGACAGAGGGAAAATACTTTGAGAGAACCCGGGGCAAATTGAATACAATTTGTTACCTTTGTAAAATGGAATAATGTATAAGAGAGTTTAGGGACAAGAATAAGTAAGAATGAAAATGAAACCACAAGAGAGGAAATAGTAGCAGGGCCACAAGGATTTAGGAAGTTTTGTGGGCAGGTTATCCCTTCACACATGCGCAGGCTCAGGGACAAGGGACAGGCATCGCTTCTGCTGAACATTTCTGAACCTTTTGATATTACTTACATCTCTAATATTTATGTTCTTATATAATTATAATTATATTTAAAGATTCAGAGTTGTGACCCACAAATAAAAAAGCACATTGTATTTTTTGGGTCTGGGTTACTTCACTCAGTATATTTTCTTGTTCCATCCATTTATCTGCACATGATCTAATATCTTATTAATATTGCACATATAATAATAATATCCAATAAGTCCATGCTTTAGCTTCTGTAGTGCTGGGGTTTACAGGAATGTGCCATACCACAACTGAAGGAAAAATTGAATTAAATAT